GATGAGAAAACGCAGGTTACTCATCGAAATTTTATTTACTACAGGACTGTTTCGTATGACAAGCTTATAGCTTGCCACACTCGTCAGGTAAATAATATAATATTACAACAGCACGACGGACTATATACAGGAGATGCATAATTAATTAGATCATGTTACATGGGTGTTACTAAGGAGAAATTTCTTTCGATGTCGGCAGGCGGATACGAGTTCGTTGCGTTTGTTAAGAGAGCTTCGTGCTGTTGTAATATTATATTATTTACCTGACGAGTGTGGCAAGCTATAAGCTTGTCATACGAAACAGTCCTGTAGTAAATAAAATTTCGATGAAGTAACCTGCGTTTTCTCATCTTGTGTTATGCCGCTCTGCATTAGCATTGAGCACTCTACCCAGACGATTTTGTATGCGCTAGTTTCTATCTTCACGATAGTTTCTATCACTACACCTGTATATCACGCTCCTTCACTGTCGAGCACTCTAATACATATCGAAATGGAACCCACAAACCTTGGCTACTCCACGAAGAATATCCCAACAGCACAGTCGAACATGTACAGAAGATGCCTAATTGAAAAAACGCAATCCTTCCTTCAACGTTTGAGATGGAAAGCGCACCACTTTCTCCACAAAACTGACACTTCAATCAAGAGAGAAACATATGGCTTCAAAACAACAACATCACCACCACCAATCGCCGAACTTCATGATTTCGAGGAAAGAATGCTAACGCTAGTTCAGAACATTGAATTCCAACCGTCAACATCTGCATTCCAAAATAAACTGAACCAAGACATTAAGAAAATAAAGAAAGACAACGAACTGTTCATACCCGCCGACAAGACTACCAACTTCTACCGCGTGAAACCCGAGCCATACAAACAACTTCTCCATGCACAACAGCATTACAAAAACCTACAAGAAAGCGGCAGCAAACAGCACAGCCGAAGTAGCCAAAGAAGAACGGAGAATCGCGAAAAACCTAAAGTTAGATAGTAGAATCGATGCAATGGCCGAGAAAGAATGTTTCATTACGTTAAAAGACCACAAGCCAAACTTCAACAACAATCCGACAACGCGCCTCATCAATCCCGCAAAATCCGAGATCGGCATTATTAGTAAAAAAATCCTCGAGCGAATCAACAATAAAATTATATCTTCCACCGGTGTGATGCAATGGAAAAACAGTATCTCTGTCATTCAATGGTTCAAGAACATTGATAACAAACCCGCACACTCGTTTATCAGCTTTGACGTCGTTGATTTTTATCCATCGAAAACAGACGAGCTTTTAAACAAGGCTATCGCATTCGCGTCCCAATATGATGAGATAACAGAAGAAGAAAGTCACATCATAATTCAAGCCAAGAACTCCTTGCTCTTTAGTGAAAACCAAGCTTGGTGCAAGAAGGACAGTAGCTCGAATTTTGATGTGACAATGGGCAGTTTTGACGGTGTGGAAACATGCGAACTGGTGGGAGCCTACTTGCTATCACAACTTCCTGCCACGTATAGAAATGCTATTGGTTTGTACCGAGATGATGGCCTGAGCGCGTTCAACGTCCCTCGAGATAGGAAAAATAAAGAAAGAAATCTGTAAAGTGTTCAGCGACAATAAACTCAAACTAACTATCGAGGCTAACAAGAAATGCGTAAACTTTCTAGACATTACATTCAATCTAATGACCGGAACATTCAAACCGTATACAAAGCCAGGCAACATGCCCCAGTACGTCAACGTCAAGAGCAACCACCCTCCCTCCATTATGCGTAGAATCCCCGAAACGATCAATGAACGCCTTTCAAAAATTTCATCAGACAAGGAATCATTCGATTCAAGCAAGCGCCCATACCAAGAAGCGTTAAAGAAGAGTGGATACAACTATAACTTACACTACAATCCCCAACCTACTCAACGAACCCGACAAAGAACCAGAAACGTCACTTGGTACAACCCACCTTACAGCTCAAACGTCAAAACCGATATTGGCCACAAGTTCCTTAAAGCCATAGATGAATCCTTTCCCCCAAACCATCCATTGCACAAAATCTTCATAAAAATATATATATATATATATATATATATATATATATATATATATATATATATATATATACGTTTTTTAAAAAAAAGTCCGTCTCAACAGAATAATATGAATATATTCAAACGCTAGTTCCTGCCTGGATTGTACTGCATTAAAAATAGTGAAATAGCTACTATCCTCGACCAAGCAGTTTCCAGTAATTTATAATGCTAATAATGTTCTTAACTTGAATACACATTTATTATTATTCTAGATGTCGACGAATGTGAAAAAAAAACGCACAAATGTGACAACAATGCAAAATGCACCAACACTCCAGGTTCATTCAGCTGCCAGTGTCAACATGGTTACACAGGAGAAGGACGGAAATGCGAAGGTAGCTATGAAATTGTTTTCTTTTGTGAAATAAAAAACAAAACATAGCAATATACTGATATTTTTATATTTGTGAATCTCGAACTGTATATGAAAGAAATGGAACAAATTGCACAGGTTAGATCAGGGGCGGTTGTCCGAAAGGCGTTTAGATTAAATGCTGGATAAGCCAAAGTTTAAAAACACTCTCATAGACCTTGTGAATGACTGAAATTGGATATACGCATTTAGTATGTACTTCTGTTGAAAATTAAACTATTTACATCGAAGTATTTCAGCTTATTTGTCCAATAAAAAGATAAATTGACCTTTATTTTGAGCTTGTCCACAGGGTAACTTATATCCACACATTTTACGTCATTTTTACAGCAATAAACAGAATTTATATATTTATTTTTTCGGGTCTGATATGCAGACTTTTAACCAATCCAGTAGAGGTTTTTCATGGTGACTGTCTTCATGATCAACTACAAATACCGACAAGGAACATGCATATAAAAGGGAGAACTTTGAAGTTGTACACAAAGATGGCCGCCATAAAAAATTTGTATTACTTCCCCTTTTTGTATATCTATATCACCGTAGTTAGAGCGCTTACGAAAAATGAATAAAATGCACCCCCATCAAATTAAGCTATGCAGCTATATATATGTGTGTATACGCCTTTTAAAAAAAAGCCCGTCTTGCAGAACAGAATAATATGAATATATTTTAATGCTAGTTGCTGCCTTGATTAATTGCACTGCATTACAAATAATAAAATATCTATTATCCTCGACGAAGCAGTTTCCAGTTATTTATAATGCTAATAATGTTCTTAACTTGAATATACCTTTATTATTATTCTAGATGTCGACGAATGTGAAAAAGGAACGCACAAATGTGACAACAATGCAAATTGCACCAACACTCCAGGTTCATTCAGCTGCCAGTGTCAACATGGTTACACAGGTGAAGGACGGAAATGCGAAGGTAGCTATAAAATTGTTTTCAGTTGTGAAATAAAAAACAAAACATGGCAATATACTGATATTTTTATATTTGTGAATGTCGAACTGGATATGAAGGAAATGGAATAAATTGCACAGGTTAGATCCGGGGCGGTTGTCCGAAAAAAGTTAAATGCTGGATAAGCCAAAGTTTTAAAATATTCTCATAGACCTTGTAAATGACAGAAACTGGATATACGCATTTAATATATGTACTTCCATCGACAATCAAACTATTTACATCGAAATATTTCAGCTCATTTGTCCAATAAAAAGATAAATTTGACCTTTATTTTCAACTTATCCACAGGGTAACTTATCCACACATTTTACGTCATTTTTACAGCAATAAACAGAATTTATATATTTATTTTTTTCGGGTCTGATATGCAGGTTTTCAGGCGCGGATCCAGCCGAAAATCTGACCGTGTCATATAGGACTAAAATTTTCCGGGTGGGGGGACGACTATGGACCCTCCGAAACAAACATTTTCTGAGCTTTGGTTCTACAATAATCTTCAGCGAACGTTTAAAGGCGAATATTGAAATTCCCTGTACTTTCATAAAACCACAAAACCATTTTCAAAATTTTTGATAAGGTATTTACCGATATTTCATTCACACTCAACTTAACGTGAAATTTGCATACACAAATTATTCACAGACCACAGCGTAAATGCAAATTTGTATCATGGGGCCGGGCGCTTCCATTAAGCGGCTAAAAAGGTCAGACTGGTCATATTTTAAATTGAAATAGAGTATTATGTTAAGAATATAACGGTGAAACTGCATTTTCCGTGCTAGGCAGATGAAAAATACCTGTAATCTGTCTGTACCGAAATACAACAGAACCGGTCTGGCCGTTTTTCCATATAGAGAAGAGCGCCTCACTATTGTTCAATTTAAAACCTAAGAGTTTAAGTAAATATTTTCAGTAATTTTCAGTATTAGTCTCTTGAGAAATAGTAGTTTAAAAATTGTCGTTGCGATTGTATAACGCGAGCGAGCGAGCGAGCTAAGCCTTTCTTTATAGTAATAATTCCATCGTGTTGTAGCCTGAAGAGCGATATTTCCCCTGAAATATGCTCGCTTAGATTTGCTTTTGAGAAATTTCGACGGATTCATGTATTAATGGATTCGATTCAGCCTGAATCAGCCAGGATGCAGCGAACAGACCAATTTAACGTGTTATGTATAAACTATATCCGAGTTCGAAGTCGAGAAGTGTCGAACTTTATTGTTTATCACGCTTATTGCGCAATCAAAAACAGGCCACCGTGTCGCACCGTGGCTCACGTGACAAAAGCTTCCCTTGTGATTGGTTTGCTACACTGCACCGTGTCCGAACGTTACTATATTTAGTAACAATTGCGCAATAACCTGCATGCTGATCATGACAACTAGTTGCTGTGATCGCCGCATCGAATGCACGACTAGCTTCCGAACATACTCGGCACAATTCGGCAAGCTTTCGGCGAATTTTATAGTTCAGTGTTAACTGAACAATCATAATATAAAACAAGGAATAATAATTGGAAATTTGTTCCCACTGAATTCAGCAGGAATTGGTAATAATATGAAAGATACTACCCAAATTATTTGTGATTCAAAGAAATAATATGTACTTCTAAATAATCTGTGAATATTAGATTGCAGATGGGAAAATTCTGGATGGGAAAATCTGACCGTGGCTCGAGCCACGTTCCATACGGTCTACATCCGCGCCTGATGCCGGTTTTTAACCAATCCAGTAGAGGTTTTTCATGGTGGCTGTCTTCATGATCAGCTACAAATACAGACAAGGAACATGCATATAAAGAGGAGAACTTTGAAGTTGTACACAAAGATGGCCGCCATGAAAAACCTCTATTACTTCCCCTTTTTGTATATCTATATCACCGTAGTTAGAGCACTTAATTTGGGGGCTGTTATTGTATTTGTCCATATTTTCATATCATTGGGACAATAGCGTACAAAAGAAATCGTTCGGGCATGAATAAGACGAAAAAATGAATAAAATGCACCCCCATCAAATTAAGCTATGCAGCTATATATATGTGTGTTTACGCTTTTTTAAAAAAAAGCCCGTCTTCCAGAACAGAATAATATGAATATATTTTAACGCTAGTTGCTGCCTTGATTGCACTGCATTACAAATAATAAAATATCTATTATCCTCGACGAAGCAATTTCCAGTAAATTTATGATGCTAATAACGTTCTTAACTTTAATATACCTTATTATTACTCTAGATGTCGACGAATGTGAAAAAGGAACGCACAAATGTGACAAAAATGCAAAATGCACCAACACTCCAGGTTCATTCAACTGCCAGTGTCAACGTGGTTACACAGGAGAAGGACGGAAATGCGAAGGTGGCTATAAAATTGTTTTCAGTTGTGAAATAAAAAACAAAACATGGCAATATACTGATATTTTTCATGGTTGACTATTTTTCATGATTACTTCATGGTTGGCGAGTGCGTACGATATTTATGCACGAGTTGTGAATCGGAAAACGAACGCGTGAGCGTGGCGAACGAGTGAGTTTGCGATCCTTCACAACGAGTTTTTAATAAAAATCGTACAAACGAGCCAACAATGAAGTAATTTGTTTATTAAATGTGTATAGACAATTTGACAACGAGAAAATCACAAAATGATAATAAACTTTTCAACTTGAATCATCAAGTAATCTAAATAAAACAAGCTTCTACTTTTTGTGAATCTACCAAGATTAAAATTAGCATAAATAGTTATAGATCCATTTCAATATTCAACCCAAGGGGTCCATTGTCTTGAGTATAATAATCCAATATTTTATGGTCTTAAATAATATATTAATCCAATACTTTGTAGGTTCTGCCAGATTAGTTTAATGATAACTATCTCACAACATTAATTAAGCCATTACGCTCTTTTGTCAGAAAATGACAATGAAAAACGCTTATGAGTGTTCCCGGTTGCAAATCACTTTCTTTTTACATGCTTTATATAATTATTCCATCTCAAACGGAATTTATCCGTTGTCTGAGCAACATATTGTTTGCTATATACACGAAGAACCGACAGATTACGTTGATGAAAACCGCCTTCCTGCGATACTTGCCGACTGTCCCAAGTAAGCATCGCGAGCATCGGCAACTATCTGGGAGCGGTGAAAACCAGGCCTAAGAGTCACAGTTAAAGTGATGGTTCACTACATAATTGTTTCGGTCTCCTTCATGTTATGACATGTCAATCATTTAGGTTTCTTACATCCCTGTTCCCTTATTAATGGTGCATGGTAGCCTCTACCTTAGCTTTAATCAAATAGCTTCTTAAGTTGCGGCCAGTTCTAAATGCGGCAAAACTAAGGTTCAGGGTAAATACTTTACGAGTTTCTGCATCTAAATACAATATGTGCAAGTATTTCTTAATCACCAGACCGAAGTGCTTTAGCAAAGGATGAAAAGTTATTTTTAAAGGCCCTCCAGTCTTACATCTTCGTTCCTTAATTGCCTTTCATTGTTCTATGTTCTATGATATATTCATCAAACTCTCTTAGTTTCCTTCTCAATGAACCATGTAGGGTTTGATCTATTTTTGAACCATTGAAAATGATGAATAACTATTTCGAAAATTTTGGTAGATCTATAAGTAGAAGCTTGTTACTCCGGCGTGAGCGACGGAGTTGAAAATTCGCCTCGGTTTTGTTTTGTTTTATTTTTTTTTTTTTTTATTTTTTCGTAGTCGCAAGTCTGTAATGGCGCGAAATATATTAGTTAATTTAAATGTGTATGTGACCGTATTTATCTACGTTCCAGTCTTGTCTCCCAAGAGTTGTGGTGCACAGCTTTGGTAAATTTTTCGATGCGTGATTCGATTTCGCTCGCATGATACGGCAATTCCTTCAAGAGCAACAAATAAACCGTTCTTTTCATGCTTTTCGACTAAGTTTAGATTGAATTGGGGTAAGAATATATTTAATACATGTACATTCTGGTCCTATTTTGATAATATCGCTGCTATTTCGCCGCTTAACAAGATGATGTGGTCGTGTATGGGCGCGTTGACACGTCGTAGTTTGCACAGGATTGTTAATATAACTATATAAGCCCGAATCTCAAAGGCAAAGTGTAAGACAAAGCGAATATATCATGTGGTTTATTTACATTTTTGAACAATTGATCTTTTATACTTTTTAAAGTACGATGTGCTTCTGAATTTCGCAATCGAATATTTAGGTTCGCAAGGCATCTAAATGCGAATATGAACTGTATTGTTTATGTTCAAAAGCTCTATATTGAAGACTGGCACGTGCGCCGAAGTTAACGCCAGAACAGGCGTCTTGTTATATTTAGTTTACTTGATGAAGATATTAAAGTTGAAACGTTTATAATGATTATGTGATTGATTTATAAATGGCTTTTTGCCAGTTGATATGATTGCCTTGTGACACACGTGAAACACCGTGTAGCCATATTTTTAATGGCCTTTTTAGATACTGCTCTACTTCTCTTATTACACCTTTTTAAAAGGTGCTCTTGCAACATAATCATGTTTTGGTGAAAAACTATATGCATGTACATGATCAAAATATATATTAATAATGAGATTAATGCAAAGTAAACTCGATCATAGCAAAATGGGTATATCAGAATAATGCTAAAAACGGTTTTATATCACACATCATTTATATTCAAACATGGAACATTTAAAAAAATTTTCAACTCAATATAATATTTTAACCAATGATAACGAAATTAATGACCTAAAAACTGAGCATTCATGCATTAATGGCATTCTTTGTATCACACGCGGCCCTCATTTCTTAGAAACGCGATGTGCCGCAAATTTGCATAAACCTGTCAAATGACATCTTATTTCCAGTTTAAAAGGTATTTTAGAAGCAAAGTTAGGTGCCACAATTGAGAATTTTGCAATATTCCAAGATCTATAATTTTTTAATTTCACGTCAAGCGTTCAATGGCCTTCATTACTTTGGCTTTAAAATTACATATTGCTGATTTTCAGTTGAAGATACACTAAACCCCAGCTTCAACCCACATAATTAGTTCCGATGGTACAAAAAAAAGAGAAAAAATGGTGCCATTCCATGCATTGGTAACCTCAAAAATTAGCATATTTTGGGCAATTTTGGACGGTTGAGAAAAGTTCGCATAGCGGCTGTAAAAACACTTCGCGATGATTCTAACTCAGGTTTCTTAGTCAGTATAGATAAGAGTATCGACGGTAGAAATATAAAAGAAATCTATTTTTGAAGCTCAGATCCAATGATCCGCTTTTTCAAAGGCTCCCTATTAATAATTAAAATAATTTAACATAACACTAGCTATAGATGAGAAAATTAAACTCCAAATAAGGTAAGAATCTAGATCTTGTGGTATTTTTGCAATTTTTTCCAAAAAATATACGGCCGTTGCGAGTTGCTATGACTACATTGTTTGCAATTTGGAAAAAATATATCCATACTTCTTTTCTTACACACCCCAAACTCTTTAACCCCAAAAATTTTCTAACTATCATGTTACCCTCTCTTGTAGTACGAATTAATGTTTACACATTCGTTGTATTTGTCGGACGCAGATATTCTAAAGACAATAAATCTTAAACAATATTTTCAGCTGAATGCCCTCTTGGGTGGAGAAATTCGATGGACTCTGCTTTATATATGGCGTTTTGACATCATGGAATAATGCGAAAGACGACTGTCTTCAGCGTGTCGGTCATTTGGCAGTTCCAACCAACACGAATATGAATAATTATCTAAATCAGGCTATGAAACAACATAACGTCAACGCAGCGTGGATTGGTATGTACCGAAAATCTGGAAGTATCTTTTACACAGTGAGAGATGAGGAGATCTCCTATGGAAACTGGAACCCAGGGGAGCCTAACAACGCTGGCGGGAATGAAAACTGCGTGGAAATGTTCAACGGAGCAACAGGGAAATGGAATGATTTGCCATGTTCGATCAGTCGTCATTACTTCTGTCAGCGGCAACTGTGAATATTCGACAACAGCTGCAATTGAAAATAAGAAGAAAATACGGCGACGGACTTTACATTTAAATATTTAATCTGAAAAGAATCGTTTTAATTTTTTCCAATTAGTCAATCGTTTGCCGAGTTTCACTCTTTAATCGAAAATCAATATGAACGACATCTGAGAGCATTAATGATTTAAATATAAGTTATCTTCAAATCGAACCAGTAGCGTAGCTAGCCTGACGATTTTGTTCCGCTATGTTAATTTCGAGTTAATATAATAATTCAAGCTTTAGAAATCTATTGTTTTCACAGTCGGTTAACCCAAATCCGGATAACGGATATAACGGGTAACCGCGGTAACCGGATAGCCGGATAACGGTACCTCTAGAAACTGATCATTGATAAATATCAATATTCGATATCGAAATAAAGATTATAGAGAACATTTTTAGTCTGAACGGTAAATTAGATTAATTAAGAACAATTAACAGGGACTACAATTTCTATAACTATATAGAATGTCTATAATCTATTTGCATTTTTGAATTTTGATGTCTTTCAGTGCTTGTGGAAGTCTTCACTGCATTTAACAAATCTTGAATCTTATTGTAGTCAAAGGTAGGCGGACTGTGCTCGACCTCAAACTCGACAAAAAGTAAAAAGGACGAAAAGTTATATAAATGAACTTTCATCTGCAGTCTAGTCGCACGCCGAAGTCTGTGTGCTCGCGTAATATGACGAAAGTATCAAACAAATAAGCGCACAAGACGACCGGTATAGATAATCGAGGTGAAATATTCAAAGTCATATTCTCTCCATTCTTGAAGCATTCCTTATCAAACATAACAAACCCTTCTATTACATCTTTTCTACAATTTTCTATTTGCGCTTTTTCTCTCTGTTGTATATATTTGCGTTTTAAAGTATTGTATTCCGTTCTGTCTTAAGATCACTTTGAAATAAAGTCGAAAATTAATAGTCTCAACCTGTGTCTTGTTTGATTTATATTTTGTTTCTCAAGATGTTCTTTTTATTCGGATTTTTTTTTTTATCAACGAATTCGAATATTATTAAAGTTCACGCAGACTTTTAATATGGAGATAATATTCTATAGCGCGTAAGACGTAAGGACAAGCTAATTTACCGTTCAGACTAGATATCGAATATTGATATTTATATTTATCCGATTAACCGGCTATCTGGTTATCCGGGTATCCGGTTATCCGTTTTTTCTACCACGCCCGGCAGAACAGCATTCAGTAAGCACGGTAGAATTGATTTTGCAAGTAAGGTATAGCGGATACAGATTACGTTATTTTGGCACGGGCCAAACAAAAATTGTGTATATTGCTTATTGTTCACGGTACAGGCCAGAGACAAGGTATGTATTTATTTATTGAATGCTTGGCACCAGCCATTACATGAAAAGAATATTTCTCATTGCGAATTTGAGTATAGCACAAAGCAACGCCGTATAACTGTTGCTATGCTAATGATATATCAGTTGCAGGTAATACGTATAGGCGGCCAGTAGCGTAGCCAGCCTGACGATTTTTCCTGCTATGCTAATATTTTGGTGTTCATTGCCTGTGAAAACAATAAATTTCTATAGACATGCATGAATAACTATAATAACATGAAATTTACATAGCTGGACAAAATCGTCAGGCTGGCTACGCGCCTACGCCACTGCATGCACGTAGCAGTGCATGTAACATGGAAAGAAGCTCCAGATATAGTAAGACGAAACTTGTGTGAATTTATTAGGGTTTTGTTGGGATCCACAGCAGAATCTACAACAAAAATCTATGTAAACATTATAAAGCTGTTTTTCACAAGAGCAATCGCATTATCATATCCATTTCATGCCCCAGTTTTAGCGCTATTCATACATGCAAGCACAGTCGGTAAATTCGGGTTCCTTATTTACTGTTGCTAGCGCCGCCCTAAAATTGCTTCACGGATTTTATCCAGACAGTAAGAATAATCCTTTGGACGGCGACTTTTGCAAAAATGTCGTAACAGCTTCGAAAAGGCAAGTAAGTCGCCCACTACAGAAGGAAATCATCACATGCAGGCAATAAAATATATCGATATCATAGACGAGTTTGGAAGAAGCCAAAACAACTTGAAAGATCTAAGGGTAGCGGCATTATGTGCGTTGGGATTCGCAGGACTCTTTCTTTATGACGAGTTAAGAATTCAAGCTTGTATTTCATGTGGATCATATAAAAATACTCAAGAGCAAGACTGATGTATATCGGGAAGGGCAGTGCCTCAATGCCCAGTGGAAATGTTTGTAAGATATATGGAGGCGGCGGAGATATACCGTCACAGCTAGCTTAGTTCCAATTTTTTTTTCCTGTGACGTTTCGAAAGATAAATCAAGAACGTACGTTTTAAGGAAAGGAGAACTATCTTATTCAAGGTGTACGTAGAGAAATTTTTAAAGAATCCATGCCATCACTTGGTTACGACGCAAAGAATTATGGTTTGCACAGCTTAAGCGCAGGTGGGATAACTTCAGTTGTTCAGAACAGCAATAATACGGTTGAAGAAAGAACGTTGAAATTGAACAGAAGATAGAAGACTGATCGATGCAGCAAAGGACATGTACAGTAATGCTCAGAAATAACCTAATCAAAAACGCGTTCCGAACGCGTTTCAGAACGCGTTCCGGCATGCATTCGATATTCATCGGCTATCGACTCCGGATCTTGTCGTCTATACCCGGATATTCCCGATTTAGTTTAATTCACACTGTGGTTTAATCTATGCTTTATAAATTGCGAAGCTCTTAGTTACGCTAGAAAAAGGGTTATTTATTTAAATCCACCGGAAATACACACAAAAAATAAAAGAAATTCTTCTTGAGGAAGGAATTAAACCTCAACGTCGGCTATTTCTCTGTTTCTCTTGCGATATCGAAAGACGGGTAGCCTCGTGGACGGTGCTCGGAGTGGTCGAAAGCCGAAACTAAGCGAGGAGCATGGCAATTTTATAATGAAAAATGAAAGAAAATGACGAGTTAACATCCCGTGAGTTAAAAGAAAAGACTTCCGTAGATTGTGGAATTGATGTATCGACCGCAACAATTAGACCAGCAAGGCGGAAGCTGGATTGGAAAAAAGAAAACGCCAGATATTGCCAGTTTGTCCGAGAGCCAAACAAAATGAAACGGTTGGTTTTCTGTTTGAAGGCCTTGAGTGCATGAGCTGGATAAGTTTGAGAACGTGATATTTACAGACGAAACTTTGTCGTATCAAGAATTGATGTAGTTTGGTCACTTTCGAAATATACGAGCATTCTCTTCGCATTTCGTTGACGCTGAATTTCACGTGTAGCCATGACTAAAACTTAATCTTTTCGGCAATTAAGTTGCCTAAGTTAAAATTGCCTTGGAATGTGACGATAGTTCGCCGGTAAAGTTATTGTTAATGTTATAAGGAAAATGTTATCTCATAATAAAATTGCTTTTTGTTTTTGTCGTTTCACAAACAAGTGCAGCGTAGGCGTACGGCTCTAAATCATGTTTTGACAGCATCAAAACCTCAATTGTTCACATGTGATGTGAATAAAATTCGAGATACTGTAATCTCCCTACTCTGTCTTAAGCCTACGATAAATATATATAAACAAAGACCAAAAACAACTGTGTCTATCAATACTATAGTTTCTGTGATAGACTGAGCCTGTGATCAGTAAAAACCGTACTTGATGCCTCAAACTTTGGCGTTCTATGTTGCCTCAACTCAAGTGTCAATTTTAAAACACTTTACAGTGCAAACACAAACACAATTGTTTAACTTTTAAAATATCGAACGTTTCTGTAATTATTGGAATTACTTTTTGATCACATCAGAGTGATTAGACCTCGCAAGATATCATGCAAAACCGGCAAGCATAACTAATTACACATTGTCATTGTCACAGATGTGAAGAATTGTTGTTCGTGTAAACGAACACTAAGCAACAAGCAAATTTCTTTGCCAGTCACTAAAATTCATTCACAAAATACAAAAATGGACTTCGATACAGTTTGAATGCTGCTGTGTTGTCGCCGACAAGGAATGAAGTGCAGGTATGAACAAACATGCAATTGTTAACTGAAATAGCTTAGCTGAGAGCACGGGTCGATCATTATAATTCAGGCCTTCGTTACACAATATCGGAACCTCAATTGTTTTATATGTAAGGCACAGTATGATATGAATACAATTCGAAATACGGTAATTACCGTGACTACTGTATACACTGTTTAAATGTATACAAACTAAAAACTAAAAACGATAAAGTTTGACGATAAAGTTTCGGCATTCACAAGTATGATCACGCGTATTCTTGATAAAACGCTGCCCAAACGTACTGTACGTTTTCATCCTTCAGATAAACCTTGGATGACCCCGCGTATAAAGCAAGAAATAAAGGCCAGACAAAAAGCGTTTACGTCAGGGAACAGATCAAGATACCAATTATTATGTGACAAAGTTTCTTCACTTATATCTAGTGCTAAGAAAACGTATTATCAATCGAAAGCGGAAGATACACGTAAAACAAACCCGGCAAAGTGGTATAAAATTATATATGAACTTGTGGCTGCTAATGATTGTAACTTCCAATCTTCAGCAGCCCCCACAGATGACCTAGCTGAACGCTTACAACAAAGTTTCACCAAGCCTTGGCAGAGCACCACTCCTAATGAAAAACCAAAACTAGAGGAAATTGAACATTTACTCAAGGATACCAAGCCGCTGTTACCTTCGATTGGACAAATTAAGGCAATTCTTAAACACTTAAACCCTAAGAAAGCAAGCGGTTCGGACGACATTCCTGCATGGCTACTGAGACGTTACAGTGAAGAGCTTGCCCCTATTATTCATAATATCATCTGCTCTAGCATTTCCCAGTCTAAATACCCGACTCTCTACAAGTCACGCCCAAAGTATACCCCCGAATGATATTGACAATGATTTCCGGCAAATCTCTGTATTACCGCAAATGGCAAAAATCTTGGAAACCATACAACTTAAACTGAATAAAATGACCTTAACATCAAAGATAATCAACATGCATTCACAAAAGGAAGATCAACAGTATCTGCGTTAGCGAGTATTACCCAAAATTGGTACAATAAGACCGAAAATTCACGGGATGGAAGAATGGGAATTCATGCCTTATTTATTGACTTTCGTAAAGCTTTCGATATGGTTGACCATGGTTTGCTCCTAAGAAAATTAGCTGAAATGAATGTATCTAAATGCTTTTGGTTATGGACGAGGAGTTTTTTAGAAGGAAGAAGCCAGCGAGTAAAAATAGGTGCGAGTTTATCATCTATTAGGTCCTGTCCTTCTGGAGTCCCTCAGGGCTCTGTCATCTCACCAATGTTTAATGTCTATGTTAACGATCTTGAAGATTGCATTCCCAACCATTTGCAGATTAATACATACAAATATGCAGATGATTGCACTCAGGATGAGGCAATCTCATATTGCTCCACTGGCAACATGCAAACGGTGTTAGATGCAACGAATGACTGGGCACTTAGAAACAAGATGGAACTTAATATAAAAAAGACTAAAGATATGTGGATCTGTTTCAAAGAAGGAATTCCTGCACCACCTTCACTTATGATTGGTAATGATACGATTGAAAGAGTAAAAACGTTCAAGCTGCTGGGCCTTTGGTGTAACGATACCCTTAAATGGAACACACACGTTGAAGAAATTACTAAAAAGGCAAACAAACGTTTATTCCACCTCCGGGAATGCCGGCGAGCAAACCTACCGACGGAAGTAGGTTTAACTTGTTATTTCACAAAAATTAGGCCAGTTTTGGAATATGCAGCCCCAATTTGGAGTGGTTTACCACAATATTTAATAGATGAGGTGGAGAACATTCAAACTCGAAGTCTAAAAATACTTGCTTTGCCGTCTGATCCATTTCAGTCTCTTGAACAACGTCGTGACATGCTCGCCATACGTGAATACAAGAAAATTATGGATAATGAGACGCACCCTTGCAGGAAACACATAACAGATATTGTGACGACAACATATGATCTAAGAACTCCAAGCACTCTACCGCAGTTCTTTTCTCATACCAATAGGCATAAACTTTCGTTTATTCCAAGGACTAATGCACTATTATAGACATAATTTTAAAATCGTAAATTTATTATATTTGTATATATACATACATTTTAATCATATTTAGTAATTGTAAATCCATTGTAATTTTATACCTAAGATGGATAAATAAATTATTATTAATTATTATTATTATTATTATTATTAATAAAAAAAACAATGGTTTATTAACTACCGAAAGTTTCTTTGATCAAAGACGGCGATAAGAGTCATCTAATTTTAACAGCGTTTTCCCTGTCAAATACTGGCTTTGGTTAAGCATAGCATATCCTAAGGCCATCAAGTCCGAATTTCTCAAGATGCTACATACATATTAGTATCATTTTCGAATGAGATACACCGCAGTCACATATGCGCTTATTTTTGCGAAATAAAATAGCGCTGGTCCCGCAGGCTAAAAGCGGAATTAAGAACCGTAGCATAAGCATATTGTCTAGCTGCTCGATAATTTATTCGGAATTTCCGAAGGCACACGAAGCGTCTAAGTGAAAACACTGGAACGCGTTCGGAACGCGTCCGGGAACGCGTTCAGAACACGTTCTGGAACGCGTTCGGAACGCATTTCGGAACGCGTTCGGAACGCGTTCGGAACTCGGTTCGGAACGCGTTCGAAAACGCGTTCTGAACGCGTTCGGGAACGCGGTCTCAACGCGTTCGTCGCATTAGGTTACTTCTGAGCAGTACTGTACCTACAGGAAACTGTTAGCAAAAGGCTAAAAGTAACTGAACTGCTTGGACTATAATCCAAATATGCACTTAGTATAATAATCAATTGTTGTATACACGAGAGTTTTCAATATCATAAAATGTCAAATAATATTAAACAAATGTTTTTAACTAAAATTTTCTACTGCCGTGCAATAAAGGATGTGATAATTCAGTTTTTCATTTTCAGTTTTTAGACTTCAATCAGCTCGGTTGAATAGAAAATTAATTAAAATGTCTCAGGATCTTTTGCAATTCAACACCTGTTATGTAAATAAAGCATTGTTATAGATGCCTGGTGCAATTAATTGCCGCACATTGACTTATTGAAGCACAGACGGAACACATCGCATTATACTTTTTGTGCAAAATGTTAATTTCCATCTTATTGTTTGTGGTAATTTTGCCAAAGGTGAATTCACAACATGCGGAAAATGGCAAACCATGTACATCGAGGAATTTTAAGAGAATCAGTGAAGGTAGGCGCTTAAACATTCTCCATCCTTTTTTTTTGTTTATTCGCGACTCGCGAGCTTTTCTGTGGAGTATTTGGACTACACTCTCTAAATCAAGATGATGGTCTTAAATTGAATCTAGTCGTTAATATGCTAGTATTATTATACTTATTGAAAAAATTCAATATCGGGGGTATCCTAAGCGCTATGACTCTAATTTACAAGAGTAAGCGTAATAATTTTAGCGGAGACACGAATGTCCACCTGGCGAGTTGTCAAAGCTCCATGAATTTTAATTTAATAAGAATTTAATACTTCGGAAACTTGATTTTAGGCTGCAATTATTTCTAGAAAGGCTTCTATTACGGCATAAATTGCTCGATTCGGTGAAAAATTGCAAGCCAAGCGTTCGGTTGAACGGCAAGTTCCTGTTATTACAAATGGCGTATATACATTAAGTTTAATAATTATTATCAGGACTTTTAAGTTTAATCGCTCTAAATTCCCCTGATTCTTTCGTAAAATTTTTTCTGCGGATGTGTTATTATACAAACATGAGTATACACAATTTAACTGCCTCAAAGAGCACACTGTATCTGCCGTACATGAGTTTTTTTTTAGGTTATACTTTATATGTTAACCAAAAATTTCATAGCGCATAATTCAAGACAAAGCTCGGCACGAAATACTAATAAAAATCGGCCAGATGAGCATCAGGCTTCCCTCAGCCAATATAGGTCTTCGAACTGACTATAAGTTTAATTTATCATGAGCTGCTGGGGGGAGTGCCGCACCGCCTAAAGTACGCCCCTGGCTGCATATACTTAGTTATGTTCTTCCATCATCTAATATCCCTGCCCTAGCTTAAACCCAATTTTGAATTGGGCAATTCTTGTGACGCGATGCCAAGCTTGAAATCCGGCAATGTGATCCGATCTGAAAAAATTTGGATCGCTTCCTTTTTTTTATTTAACATGGAACCGCGGACAACGATCGTTCACCCATAAAAAACCCATGAAAATTATAACATTTAACACTTATTTGACGAGACTGAAACATAAAATTTATGTTTTATGTAGTGGCGTCTCCAACTTGATAAGTGGGGGGGGGACTCTATTCATTATATTCGTGTTTTACATTATGTTTCTTTCAAATAGATTGTTTTAACGTTAACGGCCTGGGAACGTGAATATATGAACATGCCCACCGCACTTATTGATGCTGGCGATATGACGCTGCCACCAGTAGCGCAGCCAGCCTGACGATTTGTCCCGCTATGCTAATATTTTAGCGTTTATTGACTGTGAAAACAATGAATTTCTAAAGAAATGAATAACTATAATAACACGAAGTTTACATAGCGGAACAAATTCGTCAGACTGGCTGCCACCCCACTGGCGACGCCACTGGTTTTGTGGACACAAAGACCTGTCGAAATATCGACGGTCGATACCACCTGTCAAGGAAAAACTAACAACAAGTTAAACAATGAAATATCTATTCCTTATAATAATTATGTACTTATTAAAGGAGACCTAGTCTAAAGATCGTATGCCCACGTGCGCATGCATGATTAAAATTGCTATTTCTCATGAATTAATCCGTTTCAATTTTTAATGTGTAAATGATGAAGCAATTGTGATCAAAAATGATGAAGATATTATTTATATATCTTCGTCCTGCAGGGGGTAAACGGGCGACATCAGGATTTCGTCACTCGCACACGCGATTCACTCTTCGCCAATAAACGCTACGAGCTACAAACTGTGACAACTGGTATATAATCAACTGTGATAGTCTATATCGTTTTTGCAGGAAACCAAGCACTCCGTCCATCCGAACTTATATCAAATCATACCATTCATCGTTTGGGAGAGTGCCATATTCTCTGTATTAGTCAAAAAATTGCTATGGTTACAACTACAGAGTGAGACCAAGCAATCTTTATAGAGCAAACTGTCAGTTGAGCAACAGCACGGTAAAGATGAACAAAACAAAAATGAAAAATGGGCGATGGTTTTTTTACGAAGACCGTTTGGTAAGAACCGAGTTATATAACTGCATTGTTTATAGAACAAAATAAAGGACGAAGAGTCTCACTCATTCCGCACAACTCATTTTACATTCTCTGCATGCACCAAAGATTGAAGCAATATGTGAATTTACTATGAACAGATTTTCTTCTTTCTCATAATTATAGGTAACAGAAGGTAAGGAAAAAATACGCATTAAGAATTTGCATTTGCAGGTAATCCCATTGGAATAAACAATAGTTGAAAATAAAAATTTCTTCTTAGAGCATGCATATAACATTCTGACTAATGTCTTATCTATTTTTTCAACATATAAGAGGTTCAAAATATTTTTATTTTCTACACTTCAAGCAGATTACAAAGCACGTAACAAAGCAAAAATTTCGTTTTTAATCACGTTTTTCGCATTTGGAGTCCTTTTGGCAAATTGAACAATAGCAAAAAGTTTTAACACAGGTCGCTGTTCAAAGTAAAAAAATATAGTGCAACTTTTTAAAAAAATGCAAATCCTAATCTGCATATACGTCGTCTGCATATATTTATGGTCGGAGGTAATTCATTTTCATGGTATTTTTCTTCCAATTTCTTCTTTCTTTTCATATGAAACTAAGTTTTATTATAAATTTTATTTCAGATGTCGATGAGTGTCGCAAAGGTACACACCAATGTAACACAAAGGCAAATTGTAGCAACACACCAGGTTCATATAACTGCCAGTGTCAAATTGGTTACGAAGGAAATGGAAAGAAATGCAACGGTACAATTATTTTTCATCTTTTAATTCTGCATCGCTGTTGTATTTTTAGGGCAACTTAAGGCAATTTTCATAATCAATCATTCCGATCATCAGTCCATATTGAAGAAATATGTAAGATATTCAAACAAAAAACGGAACAAAAGCAGTCCGAAAAACCTGAGCATGGCAGATTCAGGTACCTGTCGATTTTATCCCAGAATTATCATATATACACACTTGAATTTATTTCATAATAAGACAAGTTGACTCGTTGTTTAACGAAATTTTTCCTGACCCCCTAAATTAAAGAGTTTGGCAATCTAAACGACAACGGCTATCTATTGCGACGAAAAAATATAATCATTTAAAATTTTAGAATACAAGCAAAAGTATTTGCTACTACAGGTGGTTTGATTTTTCCTTTAAGTCCCCTTTTTCTAAAACAGCTATACAAAGGAATAAACATTGAGAGCAAAGCTGCTTTAAGCACTGCACACTACATTAATTTCAAATTAACTGTTGCCACATGACCATGCAAATTAAGGGAAAAAGGTGGAACAGCGACCACGATATTGTGTAATATATTTTACATTTTTATCGTTGAAGAGCGATATGCCATCGTTAATCGTTGGACCAAAAATATATTCCTTTACAAAAGAATTCCGTGTGGTAGAACTAAATATATGAATATTCCCTAACCCCCCCCCCCCTCCAATTATCGTTCTAGTTATATATACACCGCTGCTAGTCCAGGATCTTTGATAACTTGATTATACTGTTATATTGAATATTATTTTATAACGTTTACGTTAAATATTGTTCGGTATAATTATATAATTATACGAATGGCAAAACATATTTTCAAACGGCATATCAAAAATATTTGTGGAAAAAAATAATTTTTCTCCTATATAAGGAAAAGTGATATTCCGACTCAATTAGCTCTATACTGAATTTTATATATTCTACAATTTTAGCATGCACCCATCATATATAACAAAACATGCACAAGTTAGCGTGGCACAACATGTAATTATACAACTCCCAATAATTTAAGAAGTCATGTTTGTCGACGTTCAAAATATCGTCAATTTTATCCATCTTTAACGACTGAAATTTTCAGGGAAACTCGAACAGTGGCGTAGCTAGCATCGATAATTGGCTGGGGGTGCATATATTCATGTTAACAGACTGTAAAGGCAACTGATTTGAAAATGAATTAATCCTGGGTATCACGAATATATGGATATGGCCGCCCTAATTATCGTTCTTGGCTCCGCACTGAACTCGAGATGCCAAGTGTGTTGCTAAGAAAGAATATTTCTATGATGGTCATATCGTGTAGAAAATTAAATATATTCTTTGAATTTTACTGATCTTGCTCATTTTAGGTACGTTACGATTCTCGTTACTATTCGTTGCAGGCGGGCATCGGCAAATATACAACTGTCAGATGTGGCTCGTAAATGCTCTAGCTATATTTTAGAAGCATAACAAAAATGTAAATGTGCCCCCAACGCGTGTGATTTGCGAGTGATTTTTGATCGCCAACGCTGTTGTCATGATACAATGCAAAACTTAAGTGACAGTCTCCCTAACAGCGGTCCGTCGAATTTCACGTCAGAAAAACAATTTCTCTGAAACTTGGCACATCAAAAGGATCTGGTACAGAACTAATAAAAATGGATTTCTTTTTTAAAAATTTTTTTTTCGCTTTCCTAGAATCTCGAACTTTCTTGTGCCGAGCCGGCCTATTTGGTCATCCCTTTCAAGGCCGAAATTTCGCAATATTTAGGACTGCACCGTATCAAAACTAAACGCGCTGGCAAAGCGTTTTATTCGCCATTTGTTTGCCACTTATAAAACCATAAAATGTCAAATTCATTGATTGCTTAGTTGACAAGATGTCAGCCTTGAAAGCCACCCCTCTGTGCAGGTTGCGGAAGTGCACTAAATTTACAAAGTTCGGGAGCAAAATTCGCGTTTGTTTGACCAAAATTGAAATAAAAAATTGCATCCATATGCAGATGATAACTTTGTCTCCAAGGTTCTAAAGTCAAACCTTCGGGTATGCCGCTGTGTGCGAAGCAGCGAGAAGGTCAATTTGGTCAAGTTTGCGCTTTATATACATAAAATAATACTTCGTAATCCGCACTGAAATTCATCAATTGCTCGTCTATAAAAACTGTTCCCGGCTCGAATTATTCCAAGAATTATTCCTTATATCTATATATATATATATAAGTATTACATATATAATTATTTAACGCTAGTTCCTGCCTTGATTGCTCTGCATTACAAAATAATAATGAAATAGCTACATGATGCTAATGATGTTCTCAAGTTCAATATACCTTGATTATTATTCTAGATGTCGACGAATGTGAAAAAGGAACGCACAAATGTGACAAAAATGCAAAATGCACCAACACTCCAGGCTCATTCAACTGTCAGTGTCTGTCAAACCTGGTTACACAGGAGAAGGACGGATATGCGAAGGTAGCTATAAAATTGTTTTTAGTTGTAAAATAAAAAACAAAACATGGCACTATACTGATATTTTTGAAATATTCTGAGATTACATAATACTGCCACAAAAAGAAACTACGCTATTTATCGTAGTATTTGCACAGGTTATAGTTCAGGGGCCGGTTGTCCAAAAGGCGTTTAGATTAAAACTGGATAAGCTAAAGCTTAAAAATACTCTCATAGATCTTGTGAATAAGGCGAAAAAATGAATAACATCCGTCCCCCTCCAATTAAGTTGTGTAGCTATATATATATATATATATATATATATATATATATATATATTATATATATATATATAATATATTATATATATATAAATAATATATTATATATATTGAATTTATCTTAAAATATTGTCGTCGCTTCAATAAATGACTCGCTCTACTTGTAATTAGTATTGAGCACTCTTTTATCCATTACAAACAATTACATTTGGATATATATATATATATATATATATATATATATATATATATATATATATATATATTATATATATATATATAATATATATATGTGCGTGTACGTTTTTTAAAAAAGTCCCTCTTGGAGAACAGGATTATATGAATATAAATATTTTAACGGTAGTTCCTGCCTTGATTGCACTGCATTGTATACAAATACTGAAAGAGCTACATTCCTCGACCGAGCAGTTTCCTGTAAATGTATGATGCTAATGATGTTCTAAACTTCAATATACCTTGATTATTATTCTAGATGTCGACGAATGTGAAAAAGGAACGCACAAATGTGACAAAAATGCAAAATGCTTCAACACTCCAGGTTCATTCAACTGCCAGTGTCAACCTGGTTACACAGGAGAAGGACGAAAATGCGAAGGTAGCTATAAAATTGTTTTCAGTTGTGAAATAAATAGAGATTACTTCATGGTTGGCAAGTACGTACGATTTTTTGCACGAGTTGTGAAGGATCGCAAAACGAACGAGTGAGCGTAGCGAACGAGCGAGTTTGCGATCCTTCACAACGATTTCATAATAAAAAGCGTACATATGAGCCCATATTTAATTATGGCATTTTTCACACGTGATAAACATTTTACGTCGAATCAAATTGCATGAAATTAATTTACACAGTGAAATACGATTTTATTACATCATTCTGCTGTGCATAAATCTCTATACGCATATAATGAAAAACAAAACATAGCAATATATACTGATATTTTTTAATGATGCTAAGTTTACATAGTATTGCAGTACTGTGATGACAGAAAATAAAAATCGTCCGGATAGAGTGCTCAATGCTTGCACAGAGCGGTATAACACAGGTTGAGAAACGCCGTTTACTTCAACGAATTTTATTTACAACAGAAATGTTTCGTGGTAAATAATATATGATAACAACATATTATAACAACAGCACAACAACTGTATACAAGAGGCTTATAATTAGGTCATATTACATGTAGTTGGTTACTAGGTATTACTTAACAAAAACTTCTTTCGATGCCTGCATGTATTGGAACAAGTTCATTACGCTTATTCAAAAAGCTTAATTCGGGATGACATATTATAATAGATTTATTGGATAGGCATAAATTACAGCGTTCAGTTTTATTACAAAACGGTTGTGATTTTTTAATTATTATCCAACCAATAGTGTGTGGTGTATTAGAGTCCTTTAATTTCCAAATATGTTTGCTTAGCTCCGAGGCGTTTTTCCTTGATTTATTGCGGAAAGAGCAAGTATGGTTGAGGTGTATAGCGTGTCTTAAATGTGTTCTCAGTAAGGCCAACGTAGGTTTGAGATTCTCTCGTACTTTCATTCTTCACGGTCGCTTGGTACTATAGCGACCGTGCCATAAAATACTAGGATTTATCAACTCACTTTAATATGCCATTTTAGCTAATTTTTATACTTTTCAAAAATGCATTCTTAAATTGAAACCGCGTTATCTCGGTCAAATTTGCATGAAAAACGGCATGGTATATATATGAAAATTTAATTCAAAGATCAGAAAATACAAAAACATAATTTTAGTGTAATAGCTCTTTTAATTTTGAAGTTATACTCAATCAAACAGGGTTGACGTTTTTTTGCGCCTCCCGGTACATCTACCAAGATTGAAATTAGCGCTAGCGTAAATAGTTATTCACCATTTCAATATTCAACGCAGTGGGGTACATTGTCTTGAATATATTAATCCAATACTTTTCATTGTTTTAAGTATAAATTATTAATCAAATACTTTGTAGGTTCTGTCGGATTACTTTTACGATAATTATCTCGCAACATTAACTAAGCCATTATTAGTATCGTTCTCAACATTGGATAGGGAGTAGGAGTGGGATGAACATTTTGAAAGCAAACATTCAGCAATTTATGTTCAGATATAAGGAGTCTTATATGAGTAAACTTTGCAGATATCAATGAATGTGCACATAGTCCATGTGGTTACAATGCAAACTGTACAAACACGAATGGTTCGTACATTTGTGAATGTCGGACTGGATATGAAGGAAATGGAACAAATTGCACAGGTTAGATCATGCAGGGTCCGGTTGTCCGAAAGGCGTTCAGGTTAAATGCTGGATAAGCCAAAGTTTAAAAATGCTCTCATAGATCTTGTGAATGAATGAAACTGCATATACGCAGTTAATGTATACTTCCCTTGACCAATAAACTATTTACATTGAAATATTACAGCTCATTTGTCCAATGGCGGACGTATATAAGTATGAATATAGTTTAACGCTAGTTCCTGCCTTGATTGTACTGCATTACAAAAAAATGAAATAACTATACTATCCTCAACCAAGCTGTTTCCAGTAAATTTATGATGCTAATAATCAGTTCTTAACTTGAATAATTATACCTTGATTATTATTCTAGACATCGACGAATGTGAAAAAGGAACGCACAAATGTGACAAAAATGCAAAATGCACCAACACTCCAGGCTCATTCAACTGTCAGTGTCAACCTGGTCACACAGGAGAAGGACGGATATGCGAAGGTAGCTATAAAATTGTTTTTAGTTGTAAAATAAAAAACAAAATATGGCACTATACTGATATTTTTGAAATATTCTGAGATTACATAACACTGCCACAAAAAGAAACTACGCTATTTATCGTAGTATTGGCACAGGTTAGTTCAGGGGCCGGATGTCCAAAAGGCGTTTAGATTAAAGCTGGATAAGCTAAAGCTTAAAAATACTCTCATATATCTTGTGAATAAGGCGAAAAAATGAATAACATCCGCCCCCCTCCAATTAAGTTATGTAGCTATATATATATATATATATGTGTGTGTACGTTTTTTAAAAAAAGTCCCTCTTGGAGAACAGGATTATATGAATATAAAGATTTTAACGCTAGTTCCTGCCTTGATTGCTCTGCATTACAAAATAATAATGAAATAGCTACATGATGCTAATGATGTTCTCAACTTCAATATACTTTGATTATTATTCTAGATGTCGACGAATGTGAAAAAAGATCGCACAAATGTGACAAAAATGCAAAATGCACCAACACTCGGGGCTCATTCAACTGTCAGTGTCAACCTGGTTACACAGGAGAAGGACGGATATGCGAAGGTAGCTATAAAATTGTTTTTAGTTGTAAAATAAAAAACAAAACATGGCACTATATATACTGATATTTTTGAAATATTCTGAGATTACATAATACTGCCACAAAAAGAAACTACGCTATTTATCGTAGTATTTGCATAGGTTAGTTCAGGGCCGGTTGTCCAAAAGGCGTTTAGATTAAAGCTGGATAAGCTAAAGCTTAAAAATACTCTCATATATCTTGTGAATAAGGCAAAAAATGAATAACATCCGCCCCCCTCCAATTAAGTTATGTGCTATATATATATATATGTGTGTGTGTGTACGTTTTTTAAAAAAAGTCCCTCTTGGAGAACAGGATTATATGAATATAAATATTTTAACGCTAGTTCCTGCCTTGATTGCTCTGCATTACAAAATAATAATGAAATAGCTACATGATGCTAATGTTCTCAACTTCAATATACCTTGATTATTATTCTAGATGTCGACGAATGTGAAAAAAGATCGCACAAATGTGACAAAAATGCAAAATGCACCAACACTCCAGGCTCATTCAACTGTCAGTGTCAACCTGGTTACATAGGAGAAGGACGGATATGCGAAGGTAGCTATAAAATTGTTTTTAGTTGTAAAATAAAAACAAAAACATGGCACTATATATACTGATATTTTGAAATATTCTGAGATTACATAATACTGCCACAAAAAGAAACTACGCTATTTATCGTAGTATTTGCATAGGTTAGTTCAGGGCCGGTTGTCCAAAAAGCGTTTAGATTAAAGCTGGATAAGCTAAAGCTTAAAAATACTCTCATATATCTTGTGAATAAGGCAAAAAATGAATAACATCCGCCCCCCTCCAATTAAGTTATGTGCTATATATATATATATATATGTGTGTGTGTACGTTTTTTAAAAAAAGTCCCTCTTGGAGAACAGGATTATATGAATATAAATATTTTAACGCTAGTTCCTGCCTTGATTGCTCTGCATTACAAAATAATAATGAAATAGCTACATGATGCTAATGATGTTCTCAACTTCAATATACCTTGATTATTATTCTAGATGTCGACGAATGTGAAAAAGATCGCACAAATGTGACAAAAATGCAAAATGCACCAACACTCCAGGCTCATTCAACTGTCAGTGTCAACCTGGTTACATAGGAGAAGGACGGATATGCGAAGGTAGCTATAAAATTGTTTTTAGTTGTAAAATAAAAAACAAAACATGGCACTATATATACTGATATTTTTGAAATATTCTGAGATTACATAATACTGCCACAAAAAGAAACTACGCTATTTATCGTAGTATTTGCATAGGTTAGTTCAGGGGCCGGTTGTCCAAAAGGCGTTTAGATTAAAACTGGATAAGCTAAAGCTTAAAAATAATCTCATAGATCTTGTGAATAAGGCGAAAAAATGAATAACATCCGCCCCCCTCCAATTAAGTTATGTTGCTATATATATAGGCTATATATATGTGCGTGTCCGTTTTTTAAAAAAAGTCCCTCTTGGAGAACAGAATTATATGAATATAAATATTTTAACGCTAGTTCCTGCCTTGATTGCACTGCATTATATACAATACTGAAAGAGCTACATTCCTCGACCGAGCAGTTTCCTGTAAATGTATGATGCTAATGATGTTCTTAACTTCAATATATACCTTGATTATTATTCTAGATGTCAACGAATGTGAAAAAGGAACGCACAAATGTGACAAAAATGCAAAATGCTTCAACACTCCAGGTTCATTCAACTGCCAGTGTCAACCTGGTTACACAGGAGAAGGACGAAAATGCGAAGGTAGCTATAAAATTGTTTTCAGTTGTGAAATAAATAGAGATTATTACTTCATGGTTGGCAAGTACGTACGATTTTTATGCACGAGTTGTGAAGGATCGCAAAACGAACGAGTGAGCGTAGCGAACGAGCGAGTTTGCGATCCTTTACAACAATTTCATAATAAAAAGCGTACATATGAGCCCATATTTAATTATGGCATTTTTCACACGTGATAAACATTTTACGTCGAATCAAATTGCATGAAATTAATTTACACAATGAAATACGATTTTATTTCATCATTCTGCTGTGCATAAATCTCTATACACATAATAAAAAACAAAACATAGCAAATATACTGATATTTTTCAATGATGCAAGTTTACATAGTATTGCCATAGTATTGCGATGACAGAAAATCAAAATCGTCCGGATAAAGTGCTTAATGCTTGCAGAGAGCGGTATATAACACAGGTTGAGAAACACGGGTTACTTCAACGAATTTTATTTACAACAGAACTGTTTCGTGGTAAATAATATTAAGGCCAACGTAGGTTTGAGATTCTCTCGTACTTTATTCTTCACGGTCGCTTAGTATACTATAGTTTTCGTTAGGCATTCTCCTTGCAGAGGGCAGAAAAAAAAAAAGAAATCTATTTTTGAAGCTCAGGTCCAATTATCCGGTTTTGCAGAGGCTCCCTCTTTATAGATAAATAAATTAACATAACACTGGCTATATAGATGAGAAAAATTAAACTCCGAATAAGGTGAGAATCTAGGTCTTAATTGTCGTATTTTGGCAATTTTTTCCATACTCTTTTCTACACACCCATCCAAACTCCCAACCGACATAAATTTTCTAACATGTTACCATATCAATGCTTAACTAATTTCGTTTAACCGAAACAAGGGTTTTCCGCATGCGTTGTACGAATTAATGTTTACACCTTCGTTGTATCTGTCGGAGACAGATATACTAAAGAGAATGTATCTTAAACAATATTTTCAGCTAATAAATGCCCTCTTGGGTGGGAGACTTTCGATGGACTCTGTTTTTATATCAGCAATGGCGTTGCGATCATGGAAAGTGCGAAAGACGACTGTCGTCAGCGTGGCGGTCATTTGGCAGTTCCACAACACGAATATGAATAATTATCTAATCAGGCTATGACAACATAACGTCAACGCAGCGTGGATTGGTATGTACCGAAAATCCACATCTTTTACACAGTGAGAGATGAGGAGATCTCCTATGAAAACTGGAACACAGGGGAGCCTAACAACTGGGGGGCATGAAAACTGCGTGGAAATGTTCAACGGAGCAACAGGGAAATGGAATGATTTGCCATGTTCGATCAGTCGTCATTACTTCTGTCAGCGGCAACTGTGAATATTCCACAACAGCTGAAATTGAAATAAGAAGAAAATACGGCGACGGACTTTACATTTAAATATCTGATCTGAAAGGAATCGTTTTAATTTTTTTCAAAATAGTTAATCGTTTGCAGTGTTTCACCCTAAAATCGAAAATCAATAAGAACGACATCTCAGAGCATTAAATGATTTAAATCTTAGTTATCTTTAAATCGAACATGTATAAAATTATATCCTCTGAAACATAAAACCAAACAAATTGGAATATCATGTATTTGATTGTTAATAGGCTGTTTCGTTACATACAAAGGGCGGGTCAATCAAAAAGGAAAATTTCCTCGCAATTTGAGCAATTACAGGATACTTTTTTATAAAAATTAATAATTAAAAGCTGTATCAAATGCTAAAATGCTTTGCATTCCAATGTTTGTCGTCCGGTCGACCTTTCGGTACACTTTCATTTTCGCATGTCAGGTAACACTGACCTAAATATAACTGTCGCTTAACTCGAATAATTCCCTATACATGTCCAATACTCTCGCAACCACGGAAAAGGTTATTTACCATCGGTAAAGTTTTAACCATCGGTCTGAATGCCAAAGTTTCTTACTCAGCTGGCGCAGAAATTAGCAGAAAGAGATCATGAACGTTATGTAGTTGTCATATCTTGGTTGAGAACCAGCTAAAATCTCTTTCGAAATTCTAAGATCGGTACATGCGAGTGTAAGGGGATCTAGATCACCTTTTTATAGAAAATAATTTGAAGTAGATACGATTTTGGACTAAATGTTAAATTGCAGAGGTTTTTTAAACTTTTTTAGATTTTAACTTTACGTGCAAAGTACTCCTTTTCTATAAAAATTAGGAAGAACAACAATCATTATATTTTCAAAAAGAGTTTAAACAGTCCATCTGAAAATGTATGGTGATTAGAATAGTTAATTTTGGTCTAGTTTTACTTAGAATCTTTTAAATATGTATATAGTTAATTTTATCATAAATTACATTAAAGTTTTAAGTTTCACCATCAGTAATTAATATATTCGTTTCGTGAATTCCAGCTGAGGTAATACGCGCACTAAACGGCCACACCATCGGTACCGTCATGTATATATATATACACACCCATTTGCAAAAACGTTGACCGCATTTAGATAGATAGATACTCGAAGTCTAATTAGAATTGCATATGAATACATTTGCATGGGATTTCAATCATATTACACAACATATGCAATTCTAATTAGATTTCGGGTATATCTATCTATATATCTATCTGCGGCCAACGTTTTTGCAAACGGGTGTATATATACATAATATATATATATATATATATAAT